TTCGTAGTGTTTCGACTTTTCTTTCTTTTTCGTAGAATAGTCGCAGTAAAACTAAAAGCGATCTGGAGCCTTTCCGTGGACGGGGAGGTAACGAGGAAAGAGACTGGCACCGTAACACTGACACCGGATATACGCTGAGAGAAACGCGACAAATCGGCAGGGAGGAACGTAAAAAGTTCGAGAATCGCAAGCGAGAACTCGTCGCACACGAAGTCAGTGAGTCACACTGACAGCGAGACGAGAGAGCCAACCGTGCAATTCTCAGATAGAAGGCCCTATAGCCTGGTCCAATTTACGGACTCATTAGATCGCACTGACAGCCGTCGACGTTGCACACGTACATGCACGCGCGATTTTCCCCCCACAGCCGGTTAAATTGCCCATTGTCACCTCGCGTACGTCGTAGTGCTGGAAAAAATCGCTACCCTCTTGTCAAATTCAACATTTTAATTTAATTCGAGTATATTAATTCAATTCAGAAATACAGTGGTCACTATTTGCCTATGAGAGCAAACTGTGTGTGTGTGTTTACATCTACACTTATTTTTTGCGTTAATCAAGTCGACCATTTTATAATTTATTATTTAAAAGATGCCAGTAATTATCAATCAACGTCCTACAACATTTTGATTCACGTTGTAGACAGAAAGAGAGGATTAAAAGTTAATTTGCGTGCAATAAGACACGTATGAGAATGAGAAAATTTTATGCTCTCTCAATTCTGTGTAGGCAACAGAAATTTATAAAAAAATTATGCGTTATAGATTGATTGTAAATGTAACTGATTCTATCAAAGTATTACCACGAGAGGGATCTTATTGGCGGCATTTCTAGTAGCGACTGTACGAAAGCCGTACACGGCAATTGGCTACTTCCCTCGACGAGGGCTCGTAGGAAGCTGCCTTCAAAGTCATGAGTTATCATTGACCAAAATTACCACGTAATTTGATGGATGATCGTCTTAACCAGCGCCGGCCGTCAGCTCGGATCGATGACATCTCCGATGTATCTCGGTGTTATTTTTAAATAATAGATGTTTAATTCTATACGGATTACTTGCAATATCCATCCGCAACTTCACAGTATATGACGAAATAAACACAGCTCGTGATTGATCCATAAAGAACGAATGTAAAGTTTATAATTTTGCAGTGGATATTAAATTGATCTTGTACCGTCCAAAGTAACGTATAGTCACATGATATTAAAGATGAGATATCGTTACGTACCTCCTCGCACGGTGGCCGAATGTAGAGTGATTCTCAAAAGCAAGATGTAGAATAATTAAACAAGATCCGGCCGCAAGAAAGGAGCTAATTGTTGACCAATCGGGCTGTAAAAGTCGTTTGTTTGTCGTCTTATTTCTACATTGGACACCGAGATGTGCAAAAAGATAATACTGTACGCGTAGTACGCTCAAAAGCTCCGCCGAGTGCGCAAATTTGCGCTACACGATAATGTAACTTCCGATACGCCTCTTTCGTCACGGCTAAGACTCACAAAATGTTTTATCACGCTTATTCTTAACAATCTTAACCATGTCAAGGAATTTGGAAATTGCCATGCGAGAGAAATAATAGCAGAAGAAAAGAAGCGGCAATTGATCGATATCGATAAACGTTACCTGCATTTCCAGAAATATCCAATCCATTTAAATAATATAGACGGACGGCAAGTATCGCTTATATTTTCTACACATCCGAAAGCACGAAGCACAAAGACTAAACTCATAAAAATACAAAATGGGCCATATATACGATATATCTCTTTGGCGACTGATTGGTTGGTCTAACAATTAGACATTTTTGTACGTCATAAGAAAAACGTCAGAAGATGTCATAAGAAAGACGTCAGAAGATGTCGACCTTCTTCGATTACGGAAATACTATTTCGCCGAGTTTTGCATATTCATGATTGTGTTAATTAATTCATTTCTGCAGCGCGAGAAATTCGTGAAACTGCATCGAACAGAACATTGTGAGGCGATTCGCGAAGAAATCATGTACATTAAGCACATTTTTGCCGATCGCGATCGCTGATAACGAATATCAACGACAATCGTAGCAATTAATGAAGATGAAAAGATGCGATGAAGAATCCTGAAAAGTGCGTTGATTCATTGTCAGTATAAACCCGAGATAAATTTCTTCCGAGAACGAACTGACCTTTCAATAGTCTCCGAGTGATTAACAAGCGTTTTGCATTCTCGCGCACCAACATCATTGTATGAGAATTAATACGTTTTTTTTTATTTTTATACTTTTCCTTGTGATTCGAATATTTTCGATATTTCTCATCTAATGTTCTCACGTGCTTGCTTTCGCACGTGACGGAAGTTCATCAATCATCGCAATATTATGCATCGTCATTAAATACTTTGATTTATTAAACCTGCTATATTAAACTCGCGATTGCAGTTACAAAAGACGCGGATGTGAATACACGAATCGAATGTTATTCGTTAAATCACAATGTCTTCCCGTTTCGCCATTTTTTTCACGTGATCTCGCTTAAGTAATAAAGTCTTTATCTTCAGATAACTGCAAAGCATTTCTTACGTACAAATAAAAGATATAGAGTATTTATAATGTACACTAGAGATATATCAGCGTGCGTTTCATTCGACAAACATTAAAGGCGGTTGAAACCGTCATGGGAATGCAAGTCCCAGAACGCCACGGATGTCCCATGGGTTCCATGACCTCCTGACAGTATGTTAGATCGCAGTGAATTAGTTAATGCGAGTCACATGGAGCGGCGATGAATTATCGTGCCCGCGATGTATCAACAGTGCAGACGACTGCATTTTGGACAAGATCGTTTGTCCAGTTATTGGACCTTCCTTCCTGTTTAACCGCGACGGAAAGATGAATCACATCGTTGAAAAGAACACGATAAGGGCTCAACAATCCTTATCGTGTTCTTTTTTCCTCCAACAGATTGCACGAGCGTATCATTTGCAAATCACATGCGTATATGAAAATTTTACCGTAAGACGCAATATTAAAAAAATTTTTAAACGCGATGTAATAATGAATTTAAATTTTGACGATTAATAAAATAAATATAAATTATTTTTTTCAATTATATATCTAGAAAGTTAAATATTTTACAATTAATTACACAATAAAATTCTAGCAAAGCATTAATATTTTTTGTAAATGTTTTTTGCAAAACGCGTTCGTGGATTTCTTTCTTCGAAGAACTACCTATTGATAAGGAAATATATATCGTGATTATTGAGCGTTTAATCGGAGATTCAACAAAGAGATAAGTCTAATTAACGTTAGCTATGATGCCATTAGCCGACGGCGTTTTTAATGAGTCATATAGTTCTTTCTCAGCAAATCGTGCTTTGTTACTAATTCGTCGATCATCTATCTGAGTCACAGGATATAAATTATGCAAATTTTTAGAAACAAGTTTGAATTTTTATCTTCGACTTTATCGTTAACAGTGATAACGTATAACGATTTTGTGCAACAACATATTTTTCATTTAAGTATTTAATTACTTCTAGGATCGACGAGCCGCGTTATCGCATGAAAAAGCAAGATGGAACAGCGTTTCGTTCCTGTCTGCTCGATAATACGAGGACAAACAAAGCGTGCCGAAGATAACTTTTGAACCTCCTGTGCATTTGCTGATTCCGTCGGACTGAAAAATATGCGGAGTCGAATCGCTCGTCACGGTCGCTTATCTCACAAAAAGCAAAATGTGGGTATGGGCAGTACATTCATTTTAAAAATTAATGCGTAAATTTTTCTAGAACGAAAAATTCCGTTATGCAATATAATAATAGGTTTAAAGAAACGACTTTAAAGAATAGATTCTAAGATTCACGCTTATCAATGGTTAATTAACGCGTGCGTATTCGTGAGAGTTTATCGTAAAATCGCTTTTTTCTTAAGACTGATTCTTTTCTTCACATATAATCGCTTACGTAGATTGTCTTTTCGAAATAAAGTCAGTGGTGATAATTGCGACCAACCTTCGGCACGAGAAGCTCTAATTTTATTGTACTCGACGAACACTGTAGTTTATAGCGCTATTGCAGAAGTATTTACAATTATTTACGAAATTTCATGAGATTTTTAGAAATACACATACGAGAGAGATAATTATAATTCGATTTGTTTAACATATAAGAAACCATAAAAAACAAATGTCACGTCAGGTTTCTATCGACACATGACCGAGAGAACGCAACATTGCAATTTTAATTCCCATCTCAAACACGCAACATATATTTGTGTGAGGCGATCTTTCGATATCATTCGACAGGAATTTTGTCAAAGAATTCTCAAAGATCTGTTTTTGTAACGAATCTGGTGGGAAAATCAGGTGTTTCAGTGCTGCTTAAGAAAGATCTGTAACAAAATCTTTGACGGAAAATTATTGTAAAACTCTGACTCTAAATCTTATAAAACGAATTAAATTTTTTATCTATTCATTCCGTTAACTTTTGATTCTGAGAAATTAAAAACAAATGTTAGCAATTATATCTTGTTCTCTTTTGATAGGAACTGATAATGTGAACTCAAATCAGACGCCGCGTCTATGTCGCTTGATAACCCTATTCACTGTTTTCGAGCTAAAAAGCGAGCAAATTAATAGAAGAGTCTTGCTAAATCTAAAATTAACTTATAAGAATATATTTTACACGAATACTGGTAAAGAAAAGGAATGTTGTAATTTAACATTATTGTATACAATGGTTCTATTTTTTATGGCTAATCTAGTGTATACTTTTAGAACTTACGTAAGATATATGATATAGGTATATGTTTGGCGAAAGTGAGAAAGAGAGTTCTGCAGGAATAAAAAACTGACCTAATATTATTATAAGATATATATATATATATATTTTTGTATATGTGTACATACATATTTTAATATATATTATATATTAAAATCTATACTGTAAAGCCACAACCAATATAATTGTTATAAAAAATAATATTTATATTCGTATTTTATTTATATTAATTTATGTGCGCACAAAATTTCTTTTCAAAAAAGGCCCCACCGCACAAGCAAAAAAATGTAATTAATTTGTAGTACTTATAAAACAATGACCTTAAATGTCGCATGTTTTGTGACTTATTTGTTTTCAATAATCTGCTATATTTCATATTATCGACACCCACTCGCAAAGACGTAACGACTGTAATCGAGAACGAGCGGACAAGTCCAAGGCCGTCATCATCATCGAATGGCGATCAAATCGCAGCGCTGGTTATATCATCGTAGCGAACATCGTGTCTGCTCAAATCATCGAATTGCACACGCGATCTGATTTGCCTCGGCATAAATATTATTCGTACAATTCTGAGATTGATATAAATGTCTCATTGGCTTTCATAAGTAGATCTTACATCAGTCTTGTTACGTTATATTTGGAAGTAACCATTTCATAAAGCGCATATATGATCATTTTTAGGTGCAATTCAGTAGAAAATTGTTAAATATTACATAATGTTCATATATCAGTATCAAAAAATATATATTCTTTGTATTTTCTTTATCACAACAATTAAATTAGCGTTTAATTAATTTTCGATTATCTTTCATACTCTATACTGAGGTTTATTAAAAATAGACGAACGATCGATATTATAAAAGAAATGAGATCAGATAGAGCAGATTAATTTTTTGTTGATAACTAAAAAATCAAACGGATTTAGGTATAAGTTTCATCGATCGTACGCCCATGTGTTTAGCAAATTCTTCCGAGGCCTTTAATTGATTTGGATGATACGTGATTCCGCCCTCTGTATCGACCTTTTTCATGTGTTGTCTTTCGGGATCACCGGCGATCAGAACCGGCTTCTCGCCGGAGGTGGGTAGGTCTCTCAGCTGTTTGAGCAAGATTGTCAATCTCTCTTTCGATCCGCGCGCAAAGGCCTCCGGATTAATGGCCATAAAGCACTGTCCGAGATCGGCGACTCTGTCACTGGACTTCCAAGTGCGGATGTTCGGTCCGAAAAGACTTCCGCTCAGAATACCGCACAGTATCTCAACCATCAGACCCAGACCATAGCCCTTGTACCCAGAACTGTGTTCATCGCCACCGAGAGGCATCAATAAAGAAGCTTTGTAAGCCTCTTCGGAATCACAGGTCACTTTTCCGTCGGATCCGAGTGCCCAGCCCTCGGGAATGTCCTCGTTCTTCCGAATGGCCAACTCGATCTTGCCCAAGGCGACGGCGGTGGTCGCCATATCGAGAACAAACTCGTCGCCGTCGGAGGCGGCCATGCCTAAAGACAAGGGATTCGTTCCTAGAGCGGATTTCATGCTGCGCGTTGGTGCCATCAGCGGACTCGTGTTGGTACAGGTAAAACCGATCAGTCCTTGTTCCATCGCCATCATGGTGTAGTAACCACAGATACCGTAGTGATTAGAGCCACGTGCCGCCACCATGCCGATACCGAATTTTTTGGCCTTCTCTATGGCAAGCTCCATGCAATACTTGCCGATCACTTGACCTAACGCGTTTTTTCCATCAACGAGGGCTATCGCCTGAAAGATATGAGATGCAAAACATCTAAATATTATAGCTATACAAAGTCGTCTATAGTTCCTAAAGTCCGGCGAGTCTGCTGGAATTTGAAATCGTAATCTAGTTTCGCTTTCGTATACTTTTCTGCAAATTTACTTCTTTATTGAAAACAAAAAATATTTTATACGCGAATTGAAAATAAAAATATTTTATACGTGAGTTTCTGAGTGATACTAAGATTGCGTTTATTGCGTTTGCTAAACACGTATCACGCTCGACGCACTCGAGTGAGGTAATCATATTATACACGCAAGCGCACATATTTTCGATGACATCTGCAATTCTCGCGAGTAAAGATACGCTTCGAAAAGTAATTAGAGCCGTGCTAATTATTGTTCACACATTTATTACCGATCGCCAAATTACCGGCGCGTTTATCCGATAAATTATCGCGCACGTGCTTCCGACCATGCCGTGCCGGCGATTTTCGCAATGCTGTTCTAAAAGGTAATTACGATGGCGGTAATTAACGTTCGTGTTGCCGATTGTCAAATTGTCAATAGAACTCTATTCAAAAAGTTTCTGTTTTAAGGAAGATAACACGAATGATTTTATCCAGTTGAGCACAAAAATACAATAGATATTATTACAATAGAAAAATGACTCAATTCAATAATGAAACATAAAATATGAATGGGCTATTGGAGCCTTACACAATAGATATTGACACAAAACAACCGCTTTACAGCGCAATTACAATTACTTAATATTTACGATTGATTGAAAACACGATAAAGGAAATATGTAAGATACAAGAGTCGGCGACAAATGCCTTTACCAGAAAAGAAAGCAAATTCTATTAATCAGAGGAACGAATATCTTATTAGGTCATCAGTTGTTAAGATATGAAGGTCGATTTTACAAGAGCGGCTTCAGAAAGAAGAGAAAGAGTTATCCCGCCATCATTACTGTGGAACAAGTAAACACCATTTTTTATGGTATCAAATGTACAACCTTCTTACCATATTGGCTCGAAAAACATTTACGTCATTGATGACATTCGCTGCAATCAATTGATAACGAATATGTTTATACAAATATACGAATAACTTCATACATTAGAAACATGAACGATTATAAAATTTCGAAATGAGTGTAACGAGTGAATTATACGATTTAACCCCTTTAAACATGATTTTAATGAAATCAAATTAAAAAATTTTTTGTTTCAATTCAATAAGAACTTTAATAAGTAATTTATTAAAAAATAAATTTTTTTTTTTAATTTAGACTTTTAATATCTCAGATGATATCGATAGTACTAAATAATTTCAATGGATATAATGTCTTCAAATCTGATGTTACATATACACAGGATCTGACAGGATTAAGGACTTAAGAACTTTAATAAGTAATTTATTAAAAAATTAATTTTTTTTTAATTTAGACTTTTAGTATCTCAGATGATATCGATAGTACTAAACAATTTCAATGGATAATGTCTTTAAATCTGATGTTACATATACACAGGATTTGAAAAAATTAAGGATTCTCTTGCCGCGATATTCAAATTCCACCAGCAGCACCGAGAAAAGTCCTATTCTTTTTAGCTGAACTGGTGCAAAAGTTCAGCTAAAATAAACAGGTTTAATGAGAGAGATCCGTGCGAACCTGAAAATCAGTGACAATCTGCGGTCGAGCGGTGGGATCGGTGATTCTGTTTTCGATGTCCGTTACATACATCTGCATCCGGTTCATCCCATGGCTGAAATGACCTCTGTAATCCGCTGTCATTAGATGATGACCGACGGCGCGCGCGTCTTCTATCGTGGTACCGGCCTTACACATGCACTCCTCGATAAACCTAATGACCTCGTCCTTAGGGACGACCTTCTGGCCGTAATCCTGATTTCCGGTGGACGTCATTCCAGCGACAACGGTGCGCGCGCGTAACGGCGAACTACTCGTTAAAAGTTCCAAGGAACGACTGAAAAGCGTCGCTTTACGTATTACAGTCAACATCTCTCGCCTCTGATTCTTTCTGTCTGTCGACGATCGTACGACCCCGCTTTATCACACGGTTCACCTTATCGAGGACGGATAGCTAATTCGCTCTATCAATCGAAAGTTAAATCTTATGCATATCGTTGCCCTAGTCACGATCTATTTACTTTGTGTTATCACTTATCGATCGTGGCGAGAATTATAGGTGCGCGAGTATCTTTAAATTTCTCCTCGATGTTCGATTTTAATTCATATAAATTGATGAGCGCAAAGCACTGATTGTAGACAAGAAATCGACACGACTTTTGTGTTTTTATTGCGTTTACGCAGTGAAATAATTCTTTCGTTTTTTAACTCTCTGTTCTGTGTATTGTCGAGCTTCCTTATTTCGTTTAAATTAAGCGCCAGATTCAGAGGAATCACGTGATTGACGTTAGGTTGGTCATGATTACGTGTCAGCTGTTACAGACTCAGGCGAATCGATATTCTCCACTTACAATGATTTCCTTTCATGCACAGACTTAACTTCGCAGAAGAGACTGTCAGCGACGCTAATATTCTCTTCTGGGAAGAATTCACGAGGAAAAAGACTTCTGTCTATACTTTCAAATATAACGTTTGACGTGTTCCACGTGCTACGTTCGCTTATACACCATCGAGTCGTCGACATTGGCGTTGACTAATCAAACATTGGCGAAACTGTAACGCCTCTGTTGGCGGTAACTTCAAACGCCGTTATCATTGTTGAAACAAAATCATCGACAATAAAATTAATCGAGCACATGACAAAATATCATCTTCGTGCAAACCGAATATTTACATCATTCCTTTGCATTATATTTATACACATATTGCACAGAACTTGAAATAAAGATTAATCTTAAGATTGATATCTGCAAGATGGAGAAACATCTACTATTTTTCAGTAAAATAGATTATTATGTAGTATTACTTTTTATACATATGTCAGATTTGAGCAGATATCTCCGGTTACTTCTCACGATACCAATGTCGATAGATTAGAAAAAAAGATGGCATTTTTTTGTTATAGAATTCCTTCGAAGATTAAAAAATACGAATAATAAAAATCAATTGTAATTAACGATAATTATAGCAATATAATGAATTCCTTTTTTTCCAGATGAAACATCTTGACGTTTAAACGTTGCAAATCGATTGTTGAACCATCTGCGATATTCGCTCCGCACGATTATAATTATAGATTTCTGATTCTGGAAAATTAGACCGCGGATATGAATCGCGTCGCGAACAAAATACAAAAAGAAGTAGCGCGAGATCGGGTTACGTAAAAAAAGACATGTATTCTTCTCAAGATGCATACGAGATCGACACGGTCCATCCACGTCGATCACGCACGTGATCCGATTACGCACGGATTGGCGTTTTATGCAATCGCCACGACACCGGACGTACCGGACATAAGAAATAGAATAAGTTCACAACAGGGCGAGTCACGCGACGTCACAATCGATTCGTCGCGTTCGTATCTATAATACTCTTCTCAATTACTCTTGCAAACTTCAAGCTAGATTTGTCGAATCCAGCTTGAAGAAACTTTGATACAGGGCATATATAGGGTCGAATTAAGACTCATGCCATCCCTATGCAATCAAATCATTGCTGTCCATTATTCAAATGTAATCTAAATTAATCAAATTCTATATTATTATGTTGTTCAAGAAACACATAAAAGTCAATAAAATATCGAAATAACTTTTTTTGATTCTTAATATCAATAAACAAGTTAAACTTTGTAACCAAAAATAATTATTTTGACTTTCATAACGTTAAAATAAAGTCATTCTGACTTTCACTTGACTTGATGTGTTTCTTAAGTGGTTATTGTCTTCGATGGACAATTTTTTCAAACATTTGCATCAAAAACTGGTAATTTAAAAAAATTTTTTTAAAAAATGCCACCTCTGCATAGCTCAGGTTAGCCTAGGCACTAATACGTCCCTGTGCGTACAATGTGTTAACAAAAACAGTCGCTGTGTCAGGTCGAACCGTTATACTTCGCAAATGCATCGAACGATTGACTGTGATTCTTTAAATCAATCGCATGACGGACTGTATCATTCGTGACTGCAAGAACTTGTCATTCGGCCACCTTGAAACTGTGGCCTTTCGCTATTTTGCAAAATTGCTTATCATAATACTATTCAACTCTTTTAAATTTCAAATTCACGAATTATGTTGCAATTCAAAAATAGAAAGAAAGAAGAGACAAAATTACAAGTATTTGCAGTCTTCCTCAAACATTTTGCAATTTTTTTTGTATAAATGGCGGAAGTTTGCTTTGATTCAGTAAAAAGGCCATTGTTTCACAACTATAATAATATATCCTATTTATTTGTAAGAGAGATTTAAAGATTTCGTAATAATATAAAAATATTTTCACTCTCGATAAAGAAACGTCATATTTTTTAAAGTTTTTTAATTCTAATATAATTTTATTTTTTACTATAATCTTAGATACACAACAACATTATTTTAAACGAACGTGACGCGTTAATTGCATGTGTTTCAGAATGCAATTTGCAACATTATCGTGGGATTAATCGGTAATTATGTTTCCCCCGCGCGAAATATTTGAGCGAGATAAGAAAGTAATTCTTCGGTTAATCCGACACGACAGTATGAGTGGTCACAATCGCTCCAGGCGATTCTCGTCATCTTCGTCCCAGAACTTTCGCGACCCCAAACGGTAATTAATCTCTTTTACAAAACTGTTATCGCCACAAGAGGCGATTCTAGCTTTCATCGTTTTTGTAAATGACCGACATTGTACGTGACATGTGCAAGGACGTCTTATCGTGGAATTCTAATCATAGCGATATAATTGACTTATTATTTTTCGTTCTCATTGGGTGCTTATCTCGTTCGCGAAAACGAGACGTTCTGCAAGAATATTAATACGCGACCATAGATAATAAGTGAGCCCATTGTTATGTAATATTAACAAATTGGAGTAAGAGGGAGTAAGTTTGTAATACAGGGATTTTAATTAGAGATCTAATCGACGAAGTGATTAGATTAGTTAGCGTATTGATAGAGTGAGTTTTGATGACTGCGTATAGAGTATTATGTAACTGCACATCGCGCATGGAAATATAATATCATTAACCTAATTATTAATCATGAATATTTATTTATTATAATTGTTGTCACAAAAAATTTTACAGGCCGTGTATTTCCGTGAAAGAACATCTGAAGCAATCGATCGTACAACACGTGCATATCTCACGTCAAAATCAAATCGAAGCGATTTGCCAGTGATTCATATACCGCGGCATACATTTGTGAGATTACATCATAAATATTTAATTTCATAAACATGATTACGAGTTAAGCAGTGAATTGGCTGGAAGAAAACATTATACGACAGCGATTCGGAATATTAATTTACAAAAAAAAATACTACAATCTTATAAGCGCGATGAAAAACATGTTCTTTGCTTTTTATTAAATTTAGTTGTATCAAATTAAGAAGTGGATAATTTAATAAGATAAATATTGAAGTGCATATGATGGCACACAAATCACTTTTTCATTATTAAAATATAATCGAAAATATTTCACGAATCGATGTAACGTTAATTGGTAGATAAATTATACGAGCGGGAATAAATGTTTTGATTTGAAGCATATTTAAGGATGAGCGTAAGGATTTATGGCGTTAATGTCGGCTTTAATCACCGATGCTCTGTCTTCTCCCAATAACTCTCATTTAATTATAAACACGCATTACGATTATCGAGATCACTCACGTGAGAGAGAGTTACAAATTATAGGTGTCGAATTTTAATCAAATAACTTTTAATTGCTCAAGTGTCGATCACGTGCAAAGTAGCATGACGAGAGTAACGCGATTGACAGGATAGATGGAATTATCGTAATCAGTCACGGATCGACAGAACGATTAGAAGAATACATTCAGAAAATACAGAAGAACAGAAAAACAAGCTTTATGAGAGAACGTCTTTTCTTACGACGAATTTGTTTCATATCTTTGCTAATTTCAAAAGACGTATTTTCTTTTCTTTTAATCCTATCTTTGGCAGTTTTGTTCTACATAAAATCGGAATGACGTAATAGGCATAAACAAAAAAAAATAGGAAGATTATCTCGAAGGTTATAAAATTTCCTTAAACACTCCGTTCGCGCGTTATGGAAGACACGCCTATAGTCTTATACAAGTACTTTGTTTCTTTTGTGTGTGTGTGTGTGTGTGTGTGTGTGTGTGTGTGTGTGTGTGTGTGTGAACGAGTGTAATAAAGTAAATTGCTCTTTACATTAAGAGGCGAGATACGATAAGCGTGCTCGCAATTTAACAGTAATACATGCAGACTATATTAATAATAGGCGTCTTTAAATCATGTAATTTACATAATTGTTCAATTTTTCTTAAAGACCACAATCTTTACACTTAAAAGATTCTTACACTTGTTAACAAAAATTGTATTTGCGATTTTAAAACGTCTTCACTGAAAAATTACAATCTCGACGTTTCCTTTATCACAGCTGATCTCCTTTCATTTTTTATAACAGTTTCTATCAGGTCGTGATCCAAAATATCAGTTTTATCAGACTATGAGGAAACGGAAGGGAATTCGCAGGTGTTGCATCTGTGACTAAGGCGGCGAGTTCGCAAAGAGCGTGCATATGCGAAAAATTTTGCAAGTGACGTACACCAGCACGTACATGGGATGACGAACGGGCGGTTAGAATTACACGATTGCACGGGGTGTTTCGCATGGCGATGCGTTCGAGGTCACGATGCATTGTCATCTCGTTCGGAAGCACGCGGAAAGCCTGAAAATCCCGGGCAGACTTGGCAGGCGCACTGACAAGCGATCTCGCGGATCTTCTCTACCGACTCGTTGCAAAATAGAAAAGAGAGCAGATGGAAATAGAGAGCGGCATTAGAATCTGTGACCCTTTTCGCAACAGCTGGACAAACTTCGCAATCTCAGACTGAATTTAAGTATATTTCATTGATCTAGGTTGCGCGAAAATATTTTTGTTATCACGTTCCATTTCAGCGTTGCGGATTGAATTTTTAAACATGTTCTATGTAAATAGAAGCGTGTTGTAAATAATTTACATTTCGTTAAAGTATATTGATTAATTTATAATATACATTACTAAAAAAAAATTCCAATTTAATGATATAAATCTATGCAAAAATATAATTAAAAATCAACTTTGGAATAATCAACGAATTAAAGAATGTCGATATGCAAAATTTTGCGAATGATACAGAAATACGTATACTTACTTTTGTCGCATAAGTAGATTAAATAATAAGATTTCTCTGATAAAAAGGATATATGATATGCATTCGCTGTGAAACTACATCCGTAGTATCAAGCCGATCGGAAATGCTGTCATTTCAACTTTCTAAACATTATACCGACTTCTCGCAGTTATTACTAATGTATTTATATCATGCATAATATCATAAAAAATACGTAATACTATAAATATTAATGTAAAATTTCATGCATATATTAAAATATAAAAAATGCAACCGCGAATAAAAATTAACCCATTTGTATATATTAACTCACCCTGAAAATATTAAAACCTCGTTAATGACACACAGATAAAAAATTATGCCTATTTTACTATATTTATGATCCGATCACAGAAAAGCAATCTTTTTTTT